TTTTTTTTTGTTTGTTTTTTTTTTTAATCCCTCTTTCTTTTCGGGGGTCTCGAGCCAGAGCTACTTTTATGGTTTCCGTGAAATGTCAGCGGCAAGGAGCTGTTCAGTTGCTGGCATTCGTCCCGCAACACTCGCCTTCTTTCAGGGCAACGGTCCTCGATTGATGACGACGCTCTGATGCCGTCAAACTCGTTTTGGTCGCGAGCCACTTTGGAGCGACGTCTTCCGTTATGAAAGCGCAACCCCATAAATTTCTCATCGTCTACATCGCATGATGACTCGTCCACAACAAACGGATGGATGGGTGGATGGGTTATCCACCCGCCCATCATTTCAAATCCGCTTCTCCGCAGGAGGAGGGTGCCGGGCATGCTGGAGCCGATCCCAGCTGTCTTCGGGCGGCGGGCGAGGTACGCCCTCGAATGGGTTCGCCAGCCCATCAAAGGGCACACAGAAACGATGGACCATTTGCGCTCACGATCACACCTTTAGAATCTTCAATCAGCCTGCCGTGCACGTTTTTGGAATGTGGGAGGAAACCCGAGTACCCGGAGAAAAGCCACGTGGGCACAGGGGAGAACACGCAAAGTCCACACAGGAAGGCCAGAAGGCATGATTCCCTTTCGTGGGGGTCGAGCCAGGCCTTGAGTTCGGCACCTGCGGTCTACCATGATCCTGATTGTTAGAGCCCCGCCGAACACTCGTACGACAAGTCACGCACGGGGCGGCCTCCGTTTGTCATTACAGCTGAGATCGGCCGCAAGCCGGAACCAATCTGCCGCCCGATCGCCGTCATCGGAAAATCGTTCCGGGGACGTGCACTTCTGTGCCTTTTCTGTGACTCTTCCAGTCTCTCGTTTGCGACACTCTTGGCTGGAGCGTGACAAATCAGACCAATGTGGGCGGGAGCGGTCCGCCTCGCCCGAGCCCGGCCCTCTTCTGCCTGATGAGTGATTTGAGCGAGTCGGCGAGCAAGCGGCTGCTCTCCGTCAAGCCCGCCGTCCTCGAGGGCCGACGTGTCACAGTTTGAGCGGCGCGGTGGGGCGGCACCTGCGTCAAACGCGCCGGCCCACTTGTTGTGGACAGAACGCGGGCAGCTTTACACGCCGTCGGGTCAAGCGATTCCGCAGCACGGCAACCGGCCGCCAAGTGGCCCGACGTGTCCGGAGCTGTCTGGTGAAAAAAAAAAAATGCTTCCAATCCAGTAGGTAAAAATATGCCCGGGGCTGGGTGTCCAGTTGGCAGGCGGCAAGTCGCCACGCCCTCTGACCTCGCTGACTGCATTGGGGCCGGTTGGTCCCGTCGCGAGGTGCGTCAAGCGGCATGGCGCTCATTAGCAGCACCTCGGTGAGTGGGCAGCAGACTTCCATGAAGTGTTGAGCCGAGTGTGCCGCCGCCGCCGCCGCCTCCGCAGTAAAACGTGCGATGACGCCTTGAAAATCCCCCCCCCCCCCCCCCCCCCCCCCCCCCCCCCCCCCCCCCCCCCCCTCCCCTTCACTTCACTCAGTCTCATGGCTGCATGTTTGTTGGGATGATTTGCATCAACGGCCAGTCGAAACAGAGACACACTCCAGCAGCTTGCAACTTTGCCGCATTCCTCATCCGGAGAGGTTCGCGGTCAATATTCAGCTCAATGTTTTTTATTTGTAACCACTCCCCCGCCCCATAAATGAAAAAATAAATCTCATTTTTGTGTTTTGTGTTGTCATTTGTGACATTTCGGCGGGGAAAAAAATTTCCCCGTTTCTGCACCTAACGCTTCATTGATTCATATCAATGGAAGACAAGAGATTTCTTCAAATTGTTGTTTTTCTTATGATGATTGTTACGATGTCGATGACGACGACCTGATGTGCTTGAGGAAAAAAAAAACGAGAGCCGATTGGGACTTTTCAGTCATCATTTCGAGTATACGTGAATGACGTCGCTTGGGCCAGCCGTACAATCGCGAAGGTTCGATGGACATGGCAACACCGAGAGCCCCCCCGCCCCGCCCCCGGCATTCAAAGCATCCGCAGACCGCTCCCGGTAGAAAAGCCACTCACCAATGGACACCAGCTTGATGCGCTCCCGGTCCAGGAACTCCAGCGCCACCGAGACGTTCTCCAGCTTCATCTGGCGGAAGTTGGGCCTGCTGTGGTACTTGCGGTACATCTTCTTCTGGCTCAGGACCTCCAGCAGCCAGATGAGCTTCAGGCCGTCGCTGAAGTCGCGCTGCAGGTCGCCGATGGTCTTGTTGACGCACTTGAGGTGCTCGTTGCACCAGCGGGTGAACGTGTTCTGCTGGATCTTCTTCCAGGGCGCGTCCTCGGCCAGGTCCTTCTCCGTGGCCGGTACCTCGTCCTCCTCCTCCCCCCCGCCGAAGTCGGCGGCCTGGTAGTACTGCGGCTCCTCGCCGTAGTTGTTGCTCATGGCGGCGGTCCCGCTGGCTTTTTGGAGCGCGGGTCGAATGGGCTTCGGTCGACTCGAGAAGAGCGCGGCGTCGTCGTCGGCGACGTTGGATTCTCCTGGATTCGGTCGGCGCGCTCTTGTCCAAGTCGCTCCTCGTCCTGTGCAGTGTGGCCCCCCCGGGAACAGGCCGCAGCTCGCCTCGCCACGCGTTTGACTCGAATGACCAGACGGACAAGCGGCGGCTTTATATAGACGGCGCCCTCCCCCCGACCCCACGCCGCCCACCCCTGGAGCGCGTCATTCCGGAGCCCTGCGATCATGCTCCATGCGCTCATCCAGAACAGGTCTGGGGGGGCTCCGGTTCGGTTTACTGGCCTGGGGGTGGCGGGGGCGAGGGGGTCCTGATTGGTCAGAGCCCAGTCAAAGCATGCGGCTTATTTTTAGCCGTTCCTATTTGGGAGGTCCTGTGCGTGCGCGCGTGTGATTGTTGTCAATGTGTGTCACTCCCGCCACTCGAGAGGCAAACAACTGAGCTAAGAAAAGAAAGTGAGAGAAGGCTTTTTTTTTAAAAAAGGACGCATGCGGACGCGCATACGGCCACCGGTCACTACATTCGGCGTACTTGTAGATTCGGTTGGAGAGCACTTCAAAATTCTGACGTCGCAAAGCTCAGTTTTTGGAGAGGTGTTCAAGTTGCTGATTGTGGTTGTTTTTTCCCGGGCGGTGCGGTGAAGAAAAGTACGGTGCAACCTGTTTGCAAATTACGAGCCCCCTCTCGACGATTTTCATCGGCGCAAATTTGAAAATCCCCCTCCCCGCCCCCTTTCATTCAATATCAGCACAGGTCAGACGAGATGATGTCTCAAATCTTATGCAGCAACTTGCAGCCGTTTTTGTCCATCTGAGGGCGGCGGCCATTTTGCCCACTTGCTGTCAGCTGAAAATGACGGAGCTCAGGTCACAAGCGCTCGTGGCCCCGCGATGTCATTTTCAGTTGACGGCAAGTGGCAAAATGGCCGCCCCCGCCCCGAGATGGACAAAAAAATGGCCCAAAACGCAAGAGTCATCAGAATGTCCCGCTAAGACTAGCGGAGGTACATGGCACAGATTCTTGTCGAGACGTCCCTTAAAGAAAAAAAAACATAATTTGGGAGTCCCAAAATACATTCAATCATAACCATGAAATATACGAAGATGTCGATTGTAGGAATCAAAACTGTCGTGACTGTTTTTCTGATATCGGCCCTGGCCAGCAGCGGATCAGGTCAAGAATGAGGTCAGGCTGCTAATCCATCAGCTCCTTGTGAAATGCCGCAGTTTGATGATGATCAATCAGCGAGTGTGAGCGGACAAGAAAATCGTCACGGTAAAGCTCTGCTTTGGCGTCTATTTATACTTTCAAAGAAGCTCTTGAGGTGGATCCATAAACACTTGGCACGAATGAAAGTGCTGAATAAAAATGAATCGGCCGCTTCATTTGGGCCGCATGTGAAAACAAATCAATACGAGCGCATTTCCGTGCGCTGGCTTGCGCGGCAGGATGACTGACTGAGGGCTCACCGTTTTCTTTTGTTTTTTTGTTTTTTAACACTGTGTCATCATCAGCTGAGGTGGGAAAAAAATCATTTTACAAATGGACAAGTCGAAATAAGAGATAACGCTGTTCAAATGGAGAGTCAAAGTCAAAAGTCGCTTGAAAGGAGTTGAGCACGCTGACTTGAAAAATGGACTTGGTCACCAAGTATTTGCATTTCATGACAAGCCTCGTAATGTGACGCGGGCAGCTGGTAGCTTCATGGAGGGGGGGGGGGGGGTCAGAAAGTGGCTAAGTTAACAACACTGCGGCAGGGGGAACTAAAGTTTAGTTCCGTCTTCGCGCGTTTTTGACGGGTCTCCTTAAAAAGTAACACACCCTGTCTTCCGGCAGCGCTTTCCCGTATGCTTAAATTGAGTTAAAGTCGGTTGTGTTAATTACTGCCGACATGGATTTTTTTTTCTTCATGCGACTTTCGACGTGAGGTTTTCCACGTCGTCACGAGCTGTCGCAAATGCACGTTTTTAGTTTTCCCTTTATTTGTAGTCATCCGAATTCAGGGATGTTGTTTACTTCCGTTTCAGACCACACACACACACGCGCACACAAAGATATACTGTACTCACGCGTGACTTCAACTGTTGCTATTGTAAGTTGAGGGGTTCGTTGTTTTTCGTGGATAGCTCAACTTTACGAACGGCAAAAGGAGAGATGGAATCCTTTAAATACAGTTTTATTAAAAGGGGAAAAAAGACGTCTGAACCGCAGCACGTTCGAGAACACGACTCTCCTCGTAACTAAAATCACTTCCGGCTTCTCTTCAGCAGCCAATCACAACCTATCAACATAAAAAACATGTCTAAGCAATTATTAAACAATAGAATATAATTTAGGTATTCTTAACATTAAATAATATGATGCTCAAACATAAAATGATAATAATTAATAATATAACATAAGCTTACACTATTGTCAAAGCATTGGAGACAATACTGCCGGCTTCAGTCAGCATCTAAAGTAACGTGGACAATACTATAGCCGCAAAGAGCCAGAAAAGGGAGTGCTCGGACATCACCAGGGCGGCAAGTTCTCTTTATTTTCTCAAGTCAGTGCCAATCAAGGTCGAGCTCCTCAACGATGTGAAAACTAACAACGCCAAATGGATCAATATGCAAAAGCAGCTCGGTGAATCGAGTCACAAGTACAGCAGAAGCGGCGCCGGCCAATGCGATCCATTCGAGGGCCAACTTTCAAATACATTTTCCCCGAAAAGTCCATCTGCAGGGAGTTGTCTACGGTTAAAATTTATAACAACCCAATGTAAAAAAAAAAAAAGTTATCAGTCAATTAAATAAGACTTCAATGAGGACTTGTAATAGCAAGAGTTATCCTTTTTTTTTCGACTGAATTTTTTGAATCGTCAAAAGAATGTATGCACCCAAAATAAAGTTGAAATTGCAACAAAGGTAGCAATGCGAAGGTCGCGTTGGCCTTTTGGGCTTCCACCCTGGTCGCTTGGCATTCACAAGTCTAAAGACACGCGTGCCTCGTGTCGCATGTCAGTTTAATTGCGAGCTGGTCACCAACATCACTTTGCATCGACAGAAAAAGGGGGAAAAAAAACCCAAAAGACATTTTGGCGCATTGAACAAACACAATATGGAAGGCAACAAACGAATCACGAAATAGCGATGAAATCGATCCACTGGGGGCACACGGGAGGCCAAAAGCCAGGAGAGCGAATATTCACAGAGGAGGAGTGACGGCGTCCTCAAGGCATCGCCGCGGCGGCCGTCCTGGGCCTCCCCCACGAAGGCGCGGAACGCCTGCCGCGCCCGGGGGCTCCTTCGTCACCTTGAGCGAGCGGACGCCGACCTCTCCCGAAGCGACGTCTGGCCGTCCGTTCCAAAAAAGCCGTCGCTCAACACCGGGCGAGCGCCCTCAACAAGCCGCTCGTCGCGAGCAGCACGGCGGCCGCCGTCAAGATGGACTTCCAAGCTAGCTCGCTCCCCTGCCGGAAGACACCGAGCGGGGGAAGGAAGGTCATCAAGCCACGTCAAAAGACAAACGCAACAGCCGGCGGGGATCGGCATCTGCATCTGCTTTTGAAGGCGCACTTTTTGCCTTCGCTCATCTGACCGCGTAGAAAAACGCATTTGTGTATGCACGCGACATAGATGCAAAAGTTCTGAAGACTGCGCTGTAAAAAAAAAAAAAAAAAAAAATTGGGGGCTCATTTAAGTCGGAAATAAAAATTAGCGACGCGGATGGCGGCCACGTTCGTGCAACAAAGCGAGCGCGTTGTTTTGAAGTTGAATAAAAGGGCCGAGGCCTCAAGGGTTCTGTCGATGCAGAAAAGCGAGCATCCACCACAGCAAAACTCGAAGCACTTCTGTCCTTCAACTTTGTTGCCTTGAATTTGATTTTATTTTACTGGTGACAGTGTGCGGCAACCCATCGTGCTCGTGGCTTTGACGACATGCAACAGTGCAAACTGCCCGGCCGTCCCTTTTCCCCACACGGCTTCCATTTTGTGTCGGGGGAGGGAGTGGGGGGGGGGGGGGGGG